CCCCAAAACCCCAAAACCCCAAAACCCCGTGATAGGTAAATCTGATGCTAAAAGGAAAGTGAAATAAAATTAATCAAAATATATTTGATCTATAAGTGATGACGTGAATCTCAAATTTATTATTAAATATATTAAGGATCAAGAAAATTTCTTGCAATGATGAAACAAATGAAAATCGATATTAATATTTGCTTTTGTTGCAACAAATTTTATAATCTCCAAGAAAGAAAACCTCTCTTACTATCTTGCGGAGATATTATTTGCCAATAATGCTATAATGCTTAGAAAGACTAAGTATAAAATTAGCAAATTTAATGTCCGTTTGATAGCAGTCATCTCTGCTCTATTGATCAACCTATTACAGAATCAACATTTATGATTAGACATCTTTAGTAGCATGATTTTTATCTAATCAAGTGTGATGATCATCCTAATAAAAATGCTCATATTTATTGCAGACAAAAAAATAAATTGGTTTGTACAAGATGCTTGTAAACGGATCCTCACGCTCATTTTATTTAGGATCAGACATTACATTTTGCTTTTGAAAGAAAATATTTGGATGAATCATTAGTAAAAATGCTGCCAATTTTAAGAGATGAGATCAAAGAAATTTAGATATTGATTGATAATATCAACTAGTTTTTAAACTAAGAAAGAAATTTCTAAATCCAGGAGATATAAAATATTATTTAAAAAAATTATAACATCTTATAGAACTCTACTTTTGATGATTAAATTAAAAACAATCTAAAAGGCAAGAGTGATATTTTTAGTTTTATCACTAATTTCTCGTAATTTATTACATGTTAAACTTTTACTATAGAGATTCCTTCTAACTAATTAATAAACATTAAAATGATGAGGAATAAAAACAGGTACCAGCTCAAAATGAACAAGAGATCAAAGCTAAAGAATAAAAAGATAGAGAAGTGGCTATGACATTAGAAAAAATAGTCTAGCAAGATAGGCCAAAATACTTAGAATTCAGAAGATTGGTTGACTATCATTTAGAATCTTTGAAATATCAAGAAATGAAAGATAAGCCTAAACTTCTCCCAATTACAGGCCAAACTAAACTCTTATATAAGGCTACAAATGATGGATTTTTGGCTGCTAATTTTCATTAAAAATGCGATAATCAAGGAAAAACTATATCTTTCATCTTGAGTGATTAGGGCCAGGTATTCGGAGGTTATACATCTCTCTCTTGGGCATCTAATAATACTCAATATAAAGATAATGATGCATTTATTTTTAGTTTGAGTAAAAATACTCTACACAAATAGTATCAAAACTTTGATTATGCAGTTTATCATGGTAAAGATTATTTGATAGTATTTGGTGGAGGCCATGATATTCGTATTTATACAGGTTGCAATAATAATACTAGCAATCTTAACTAATGCAATTTAGGGTATGCATATTTACCTCCATAAGGTTTAAAGTATGGAGACTAATAAGCTACAGAATATTTAGCTGGAAGTGCTTAATTCAAAGTAATCGAAATAGAAGTTTATTAAGTCATAGTATGATATCAATTAAGATATTTATATTCACTTTAATTACATGAAAAATATTTTTAATGTCATGGTTACTTGCTTTATTTGATGCATCGGGGTTTTGGGGTTTTGGGGTTTTGGGGTTTTGGGG